GTTCAGTAAACAAGCAACAACATATGAGGGTAGTTTCAATTGGTACAATTCTTCCAACGTACGATTTCAACTACTCAGCCCAAGCAACACTTTAATAGCGGCCATGCTTCCTTCGACATTTTGAGCATCTGTCCAGTTCACCTCGATTTGCTCTGTATTTCATGAATGATAGTACCAACGTGGTGCGTAATGTTGCAATAAATAATGCGCATTCACTATATTAAAAAATCTACTTAGTTTTCCAAACAAGAACTCACCTCATGGCGCGGCAGATGTGGGTTCCACTTAGGAAAGTCTGTTTTTGAAGCGAATCAGGAACCCATCTTCGCACAGCCTTACTATTTCGAAAGCGTACATCACACTGGCTAATACGCATCGATTGTATGAAGAGGTATTCAGAAGGCAACAGGTCTAGAAATCAAATCAGGCATACCTCTCTCAAGGAGTTTCAACGGTTTTCTAATTATGGTTTGATGAATCGTGGTATTTTGATAGTTGATTAGATGTTAATGGTTATTTATTGTAAACTTCGCTTACCAATCTGCCTAATTGACTTCTGTATGGCTATGATCTTTCCATCTGAATTAAGCAATTTGTAATGCAAGGGCTCTTTCTTGTTCCAGATTTTTGTCCTACATATCTTGTCATTTTTCTGTTAGGGGTCTGTCACCACTCTCGCCACCTCTACATTTCCGTTCATTCGGGTTATGTTTTGTTTCCACTTTGAATACCAAATCCAGAAAAAATCCAGTGAACTCTGGCGGAGTCGATTTTTTGAATTGACGAACATAGCAGATCTTCTAAGCGAAAACCACATTGCGATCCACGTTACTTTCCTTTCAAAAGTATTATTATATTTTTGCTACACAGAACAAAAATCATCTCCTTAGCGAAATTCCAAAGAATCCGTAGGTTTCAATTAGCACTTTCTTTTGATGGGCCATAAATTAAATAAAATTACGGCGAGTCAATGCACACGCCTAATCTTTGCCATACTAGTATCGACTTTTGGATCTACCATGGTATTTCAAAAAGAGAGCACCAAGTTTTCTTT